ACGGGCCGAATCGTCTGTCCCTGAGCCTTGATGGCCCTCCTCTGTCTGAATGGCTTTATTCTTCTCGCAGAGAATGCCTTGTCAACGCACGTGTCCTCGGGAGGTTGGCTCTGGATTACACTCCTGCGGGAGCCGCCCGGGTCCTCTCCGCCATGAGCTCCCTTGTCTCCCTTGCTCTCTAGAATGCCAGCGCAGGAGGCTTGCCCCACTCCGGGTGGCACACAGACTCTGAAGCTAGGCTCCTGGGGTTCAAATCCTGGACCTGCCACTTTACTGGCTGGGAGTTAGGCAAGCCTTTTCCTTTCTCTGTGCCTGTGTGGTTGGTCCTACCTGTAAAATGGGGACAATGGTAGCCCTTCCCATAAGGACTGAGACAGTGACGTAGGCTATGCATTGACAGGGGTGCCTGGCAACCTAATTTACGGGTGCTGACCGCCATTGTTGTTGTTGTTATTATTATTATTATTATTATAGCACACTCAGGGCTGAAATAGCTGTGAGCTCATATATATATATATATATATATATATATATATATATATATATTTTTTTTTTTTTTTTTTTCTAGATAAGGAAGTAGGCAGAGTCAGGTGAGTACCAGTTAGAAGCAGGGGTCTTCAAGGGTCCATTCTTCTCTAGTGGCTTTGGGATCTGAAATGATCTCCTTTTGAGTTCACTAAATAGGACCCCGAGCTAGTCCTGGAACAATATGCTGCTTTCCCCATATGGCTCACTTATAAAGGGCCTGGGGATTCAGTATGCACATGAATATTAATACTTATTTCTATTAGATTGACCCAGTGCCTTTCCTTCCAAGAGGTCACTGGGACACGCGGAGAGCTGGAAGCTTATGAATTGAGAGAGGGCAGGGGAAGGACAGGCACCAGAACGGTCACTGTGAGAAGAGTCCTCTGAAAACATTACAGCGGTGTCCTCCGTGGCGTCACAGTGGTGACCGAGCAAAGAGCTGGTCGGGGCTTCCCAGCTGTTCCCTTTTGTTAACTGTCGTCGCCCAGGTGCCCAGGTGGCCGAGGGCTTCTCCCTTAAGATGGAGCTCATGTCCACAGGGCAGCCTCATTCCAGATGCTCTCCCGGGGAAGCCTGCAGCCTGGCCACCACCTGGGAGGCCTGGGCAGGGAGCAGGCGAGCAGCCCTGGCTGGCAGCCCTGGCTGGCACCGGGGAGCTGTTGGGCTAGTGCAGCAGGTCCAGGGACAGAAAGCACCTTTGTGTTTATGTCACTAGGTCAGCGCAGGGCACTGATCATTTCTGTCGCTGGTCTTTTGAAACGGGGTCTCCTGGAGCTTAGACGGGCCTCAAAGCCACTACGTACTTGACTCTGGCCTTGAACTCCCGATTGCCTGCTGGGATCACAGGCGTGTGCCGCCAGGCCCAGCGTCTGGTTTTTGCCCTCTGCACTGTTTTTAAGCACTCTTCCGTCAACAGCTGCTCCCCCATCGTCTGCTCCCACGGGACTGTGCTAGGGCAGAGGGGTTTGGTACTGTGTATCGTTTGGCCGTTCACTGGCTGTGTTTGAGGCACGTTACGGTGGCGAGCATCCTGCTTCAGGATCTCGAGGGACTTGGGGCTAAGGCTCCCGGCAGTCCTGGCTCTTGCTATTCCAGGCTTTGGAACCCAGATCCTTGTGAGTCCCTTAGTTGTTTTGGTTGTGGCGTGGAGCAGTGTAGCCCGTGTGTTGCTGTCCTTGCTGGTAGCTGTGTTCGGATAACTGGTTGGCAAGGATCCTGAAATGCATGTGCTGACCCTTCATCTGCCAGCTGTGTGCCAGGACTACAGGACCGAAGCCTACGAAGCTTCCACTCTCATTGGGAGCTCTGAAGTAATTCACATTTGATCTGGGAGCTGGAGGGATGATGGTTCAGTAGTTAAGAGCATGTACTGATCTTCCAGAGGACCTGGGTTCAGTTCCCAGCACCGACATGGCAACTCACAACCCTCTGAAGCTCTAGTTTCAATGGAGTCAAAGCCCACGTCTGGCCTCCTTGGGCACCAGGTACGCACATGTGCACCTGTCTGGTGTACAAGTGTACATAGAGGCCAAATACACGTACATATAAAATATGGATTGTCATCCGAGGATCAAATCACGGAGCAGACGGCTGTCTTGGGATACTGTTCACGCCATGTGAACATTTGTTTCTAATGAATTAGTTTCACATAAACAATGACGTGGGAGGGGCTAGAGAGGCAGCTCAGTGGTTAAGAGCACTTGTTACTATTGCAGAGAACCCAGCGTTTGTTTCCTAGCAACCACATGGTGGTTCACAACCATCCATGACTGTAGCTCCAGGGGCTCTGCTACGTTTTTCTGACCTCCATGAGTACCACGCACACATGCAGTGCCCATACATACATGAAGGCAAAGCACACACGAAGTAAGCGGAATAAATCTAACTTAAAAGTTTAAAAAAAAAAAAAAAGTGGGTAAAGGTGCTTGCCGCCAAGCCAGACAGCCTGAGTTTGATCCCCAGAACCCCTGTGGTGAAGGAGAGAGCAGACTCCCACAGGTTGTCCTCTGAACCACATGCTGCGTGGTGTGGCATGCATGCATCCCCCACAAGTGCACGGAATAAATAAATAACGGTTCCCAGTTGGCTTTGGACTGGGCCCAATGGCTGAGCCCTCCTTTATCATTGCGCAGTTCTCCTGTTTGGTTCAGTTTGGGCATGTGTGGCAGCCATCCCTGTCTTTGCCCCTGGTGCCCCTCCTACATTCAGCCGTAGGTCACTAGGGCAGCTGGGTGAGCTGTACCCTTCAGGATCTGAGGGATCAATGGTCCCCCATTCAGTAGGGTCATCCATCTGTAGCCGACCCCTTGTTTGGTGGAAGGCCTCTGGAATCAATAGCATTAATATGTGACATGTGCTGGTTACAGACTCTAAGCATATATTTAAAAATTTTGATATTTATGTAATTTTTGAAGTCGTTAAAACGCCATGAAAAAATATTTCTGCATATGTAAGTGTGTACAACGTAAAGTGAAATTTTCATTTTAAGGTTGTGTAATAATATGTACTCAATATGAGCACAATACAGATTCTGGCTGACGCTCAAGGAGGAATCAGAGATTCTTTCTCTGTTTGGTCGTCGGAGAAGACGATGTGTTGATCTTGTCCGTGCTGGACGCTCCAGGTGCTCTGTTTCAGTGCTCGCTGGTCTTGGATGGTGGGGAGTGTCGTCTCACCTGTACAAACGAGCCACCTGTAGGAAGACAGGCCGGTCCTGAGTGCTAGGAACTGCTGTGTTTATGATCAGCAGAGCGGCCACGGCAAGCTGAACCGGCCCGTGTGGTTGTGAGACTTCAGACGTTCCCTTTCCCCCGTGACTGTAATTGTCCTTTTGTATTCTCTCTCCTAGTACTAAGTTGTAGGCTCTTCCAATAGGAACGGAGGCAGAAGGTTATGGACTAGAGTTGTGAAGTCTGTGGGAGTCTCCGCCTGGGCTGACTCTGCTTTACGGAATGCATCCCAGTGAGAGCACACACCGCCAGTTTAGACGTTAGATGTGCTTTTCTGTAATTTTTATTCACGTTTTGTTGGTGTTTGAGGACAGCCCAGGCTGACCTTGAACTGGTTATGTAATGGAGGATGGCTGTGTGAGAAAGTTGTTTGTTTTTAAACAAAAGACACGTACACAGAGGCGTGCACACAGACACACAGAGAGAGACACACATCCCACACAAACACAAACACACACAGGTACACACAGTTTTTTTTTTTTTAAATAAATCTCTATGTTCAATAGAGGGCACCACAGCATAGATTATGAATATCTTTCAATGAATATTTATAGGTTTAAATTATTTCTCTCGTGGTAAGAAGAGGCCAAGTTAGTTTTGTTTGTTTGTTTGTTTTCAGCATCAACCTTCCGTACACTACAGCTGTGTGTAGGGAGCATCATATTGAATTCAGAATATCCAGGGCATTTGTAGAATTAAATGATTTTGTGCATCATATTGTTCTTCAACTGACCCACTGTATAATATGCTTAGTAAAATTGCGTTAAGGAAAACCAGACTTCACTGTGTCCACTGAGGGGAAGCGCAGGCCTTGCTTTGTCCAGCATTGTCAGGGTAGAGGGTCGAGGAAGAAGCAACTTTGGACTTGCATTGTAAATATATTTCCAGAAATTCCTTTAAAATTCTACAGGCTGCTTTGTGAAACTCCCACTACGAAGGCTTGAGAATAATATACATTTTATTTTATTTTATATTTTTTTGTGTGTGGTCTCAATATATAGGCCTGGTTGTCCTAGAACTTGATCTATAGACCAGGCTGGCCTTGAACTCAGAGCTCTGCCTGCCTCGGCCTCCTGAGTGCTGGGATTAAAAGTGTGCCGCCACCATCACCATTTATTTTTGTGGCAGCTTCTAATAATTACGTTTATTGACTGCTTTACAAAGTCCTTGTTGTAGTAAGCTTGAAGTTCATTTTCTTTTTATTTATTTATTTTTTATTTCATGTGCATTGGTATTTTGTCTACATGTATGTCTGTGTGAGGGTGTCAGATCCCCTGGAACGGGAGTTACAGTTGTGAGCTGCCGTGTAGGTGCTGGGAATTGAACCCAGGTCCTCTGGAAGAGCAGCCAGTGCTCTTAACCGCTGAGCCATCTCTCCAGCCCTTGAAGTTGATTTTCTATTATTAGATTTGTTTGTGGAAAATGTGGCACAGATATGCCTGAGGAAAACAAAGGCTTTTCTGTTCTGATGGTGGTAGACACAACACTGATGGAGGGTAAAACAACTATCACTCAGAAGAGGCACCATGCCCTCTCATCCTCCCAAAGCTTACATCTTTTAAATTAAAAAATATTTTTAAAGTTATTATTATTTGAGATGGTCTCACTCTTGGTTCTCCTGCCTCAGCCTCCTGAGCACTGGGATTACAGGTGAGTACCACCACTCCGGACTCTAAGATTTGCATTTTAAATTTTACAATGTAAACTACCTGACCATAAAATGAAAACACGAATATATTTATATATATTAAAGTAGTTTTTTATTTGTTTCAAATTCATACCTGTACAGTCCTGGTGGCCTAAATTTAGCCATCAAGGCACAAAAATTAAAAAATAAAACTAAACTCAGCAGGCACAGTGGTTCCGAGCTCTCTCGGGGCCCTGTGAGTGTGAGCCTTCAGGGGGGTGTCTGTCTCCTGTCCCCCACGCTTACCTCTCTTCCCAGTGAACTGGGTGGCCTGGACTCTCGCTTTTCACCCTTGTGTCCTCCAGGTGGCAGTATTCAGCAGAAAACCGAGAGCTAAGGAGACTAATGCACAGTCAAATTGGAAATTGAATTATGGCAGAAGAAAAGGGACAGTAGCCTTGAGGTCTCCATCAGCCTGCACCCTGATCACTTTTGTTTGCGGTACCCATGTGTTAGGTACCCAGCGAGTTAATAACAGCACGTGAGCAGTTCAAGGCTCAGTAGAATTGCTTTAGACGTGAAATAAAGCTAAAATGAATTTGTGTCCAATATCGTCGCCATTAGTGCACATTACTTCTGTGCTGTGTAATGCCTCAGACCATCTAAAATCAATTTTAAAGATCACCCATTATTTTATAGAGAAAATAAAACACATTTCCAACAGAAACAAAGCCGTGTGTACAATCCTATGAACAGCCACTTGTCCTGTGGCTGGCGGGAAGCGGCCACCAGGACAGCCACCGGAAGCGCGCGGCCCAGACTGCACAGCGGGTCCAAGTTCGTATCGGGGGCTTATGGCCATAAAACTCTTTCCTAATTTGGATTCTTTAGGGCATGAATGGGAAGCATTTGTAAACAAGGAAGATAGATTTTAGTGCAGTCCAAGGCTTTTACTGCTTGGCAAATGAACCTTTAGCGTACCCTACGGCCATCTTCTGGGAGGACCAGGGCAGAGGAGCACAGCGTTGAGCACTTAAGACGTTTCCTTGAGATTTTCTCTTTGTAAAGCACAACAGTCTTGCTTTTGCTTTTAGTAGAGAGCCCCCCCCCTCCCCTCAGATTACATTTATCAATCTGTTGAGGCAGAAGGGATGGGGCTGGACTTCGTGCATTTGTAGACATTTGCCTTCTTCAAGAAAGAACGGTGTTGTCTGGAAGAAAAGGATGTGGTATTGTGATGCCCTTGGTGTTTAACAAAATTGGTATTAATGTCCAGAGGAGAATTACTTTTCTAATTACTTGTTTAAACATGCAAGCTATAAAGCAAGTTTCATTTCATCTGAAATGTGTGATCTGGTTTTCATAGTCTCTGTATGAGAAAATCCCATGTCGTGCAAAATGATTCATGGGTTGTAGCATCTCCCCTTTAATTCATACATCCTGGTCCTTGTGTGTCCTGTAATGTCACCATTGAACACCATTAATAGAGACTCAGTATCATATTTCAAAAATATTTGCTAAAAAGATGAAAAGCCAGTTTTTATTTAAGTGTGAGGGGACACTGTTTTGGTTTCTTACTCTGAGGCACCCCAGAAAAGCACATACTCAGCTGTGAACACGAACGTGACCATGCTAGATGCTTGCTACGGGGCCAGTTTCTAACCTCCATCTGGTTCTGATGCTGTAGTTGAAATTTGTGCTGTCTTGGTAACAAGTGTCAAGTCTGTCCTGTTGGACCACCAGTGTGTACTTAGCACCAGATTACCCTTCTTGGGGACAAGGCTTAGGAGCAAAATTACTTGGTTGCTTATTTTGACAAGAGATGCACTGCTGCAGAAGTTTCTAGTTAACTTTAGATATTGGAAAAGCCGCCTCAAAGGAGCCTTGTAAACGTGTACTTACATACACAGCACACTAGTAAAGTGCAGAATGTGCTGCGGAGGGCATTGGACTTTTCCTGTAATTTTAGTGGTAGTTGGAAGTCTTGATGGTTCGTGACAGCTCATTCAATAAAGACGGCGGCACTGACATGCCGTCGGTCGTAAATTTTTAAAAGTAGGATAAATTTCTATAACCATAGAAGCAAAACATTTCCATAATTAATCCACATGGTCTTAACAGATGGTTAAATTGAAGAAATGTCCTTGAAGTTATTCTTTTAACAGATGTCCTTAACCATTAGCTTCGTGTTTTTACTCACCTAAGATTCCAAATAATTGAGTAAAAGTTAGCATATGTTTTCACCCCGCTGGTGGGCAGGGCCCAGTGTCGGGGCAAAGTTCTCAGAGGAGCGGAGAGATCAGTGGTACCGTTGCAAGGGTTTCCTGTCTGCTCCCCATCTCTGCCCATGCCTGCTCATCAATTATTTTCTTTCCTCTTTTTTTTCCCCCCCGTGCAGAGTTCTGCAGAATGCACTTCTGCTCTCCGACAGCAGCCTGCACCTCTTTCTGCAGAGCCATCTGAACTCCGAGGACATTGAGGCATGTGTTTCTGGGCAGACCAAGTACTCGGTGGAAGAAGCAATTCACAAGTTTGCCTTGATGAATAGACGGTTCCCTGAAGAAGACGAAGAAGGGAAAAAAGACAACGATGTAGATTATGATTCAGAAAGGTATTTCTCTGCACTTTGATTTAACAGACATATTTATATAACACACAGTGTCCATGTGCATGCACATAGATATATACACATTTTGCTTTTTGTTGATGTAATACTAAGATAATGAAAAAATTAATTGACTGAGATTTTATTGAGCTGTGACAGCTCATCATAGTGGTCTTCACACACACCTCCACACTGAATTAATGAATGCAGCAGAAATTCAATTATCTGCATTCTGATTATGTGACTTTCATTTAGTCAGACTTGAATTATTCGCGTTTAAATTATCTAGCTAAAAAAATATCCAACTGCACTCCAAATGGCTAATTAAAAGTCCAAATTTCCTGTCTCTCTTTGTGACTGGAGATAATTAAAGTTCCCCTCTGTTACTCGGGCTTTGAGTGTGTTGTGAAAACCAATTTCCTCTTTTTATTATTTTCCCCCTCTCTTCTTTTCCAGTTCATCCTCTGGGCTTGGACACAGTAGCGATGACAGCGTCTCCCAGGGATGCAAAGCAAGCCCAGCTCTGCAGGAGTCCTGAGGAGGAATCCCCCGGCCGCCACCTCAGGCACGAAACCGTGCCCAGCCAGCGAGAACGCTGGCTCATGATAGATCCTTACCTAACGCCACCGTTACTATCTTAGGTAGTCAAATACTTACAGTGGTGGGTTATTAGTGGTAGTATTTTTATGTTGTCTAATTTTAGCCAGGCTTCTGTACAAAAGCTGTACGGTCTGTGAATGCCATACGACCCTTTATTGCCATATAATACTTGTAAATATGATCCTGCTCTCCAGTGAAGTGAGTCATATGCTGTGTATATAAGAATAAAGCACAGTTGGTCTTAACTGAATTTTAAGGAGCTAGGTGTACCAGTAGCATTTAAAACCCAGACAGAGCATCCTTGCAGGGTCCCTGGGGAAGTCAGGGTAAATAGCGTGTGACTGGAGCCAGGGTAGAGTCACCGTGGCGCCACACACTGCCTCTTTGACACGTGGCTCTTGTTTTGTGGAGACGTCCCCTACTCTGGAAAACACTTTGTTTGACTGAAATATTTAAGAGTATTTAAGCTTTCCAGTATACTATTTCACATGTAAATGGAAAATATGTCTTACAAATAAAGACGTACTAAAATAATGTTTACATCTTAGGGGGGAAAAGAATAGACATGTTCGTAATTTTGCTTAAATTTGCCATCCGTAGATTTAGAAATACATTCTCACTGTCCAAAATCAGCTTAAACATGGCTTCTGGCAAACAAGGCATTTTATCACTGTGTAGTTAGAATCATAGCTTATGATTTATTTTCTGACATTAAAAAAAATGTGCATTACAAAAAAAATCACCTGGTAACTTTCACAGCGGTGGCTCCTCACTACTTACTTTTAAGTTGGAAGAAGGTATTTATGAGTTAAAATAATTTTATCTATAAATATTTCAATAATTTTGGAGTGGAAGTCAGGTTGCTAATGTCAGAGCTCATATTTGTGTTTTAGAAGCCCTTTCTTTTAAAGGTATCTACCCGAAGATTGGCTTAATTTGGATAGTTATCTCTCTCTCTCTTTGTGGCCCAAAGATAAGATGCCTTGGGTCCGCTGTGAACCTCCCGTTTCAGATGAGGCAGCATTTTCCTGGGATAATTAGCCAGGTCCTCCCCACCAACGATGCACAGTATCTTCGGTAGCTAAAAGAAGGTATTTTCACTTACGTGAGATAACTTGTTGCTTTCAGTGAATGGCTCCCACTCTCACTGGGTGTAAAAGCTGCTGCAGGAAGGAGCCATTTACTTGGGTGTTTAGAAGTTATTGTATTAATAAAAAGTTATTGAATTGTCCTTTGAAATGCTTGTTTCAGAGAACTGGTAAAAAAAGAAACAAGTATTAAATTTAGAATAAGAATGGTTTCTTTAATTTCTCCTTTTAAAAAAATTTCTGACACATTATTAAACTTCTATAAATATTTTGATTTAGTGTCTTAGATCTTGTCCTCTAGTATTAATTTAATGCAGGAAGATTTAGCAGCTGCTAAATTCTAGAGCCATCCCCACCCCTCAGTAATATATATGAATTCACAACATTTATGTTCTACAGCACGTGTGAAGAGCATATACTGTGCCACCAGTTATCATACTGTTTCTTGACGAGATTATGTAACCATCCAAGTTAATATTAAGTGATGCTTAATATTTGCTCTGTAAACTTCACAAGGTCATTGTTTTCACATTAAACATAGAAAACAACATTGTTGGATCAGATCACTTATTTTACATAAGAGAATACATTTCTTCTGACTCAGACCTAAATTCAATATTTTTAAAATTACTGGTAGTTTTTTATGAAGAACTTTGATAAGCCTTGGTTTTGATATTTGCTGTGTTTGTATTTGCTCTGCTGTAGCCACACCTAAGCACTTGCTTTTTCAAACTGGCTTTGAGGGGCCTGGATATTTCAATGAACTTCAATGGGTCACTTGCTTTGCCTTTTCCTTTTCTGTCTGGGGGAGAGCGAAGTAACTATACCTGTAACTAAATAGATGGACATTTAGTACTACTTTTAATGTGAGTTAAGCTTAGGGATTCTAATTCTGATTTACATTCAGCAAAACTCTGTTTTCCTGGATAATTCTGCAATAGCCCTTGCACCTGGAAGGTCATAATCCTATGCATTTGTTTTAAAGCTGACTTTATAGGTAGCTAAAGGTGTCAACAGTGAAAGTCAACAACCTATTACTTAAGACTTAAAGTCTCATTTGCTAAAAACTAATTTTAATTCTAGTTAAAAATTTCAGTTAAAAAACAAAAACCACCAGGCAAACTATAGATGTTTGTTGAGTCACATTATATCCGATAGTGGTAGCTGGATGTTGTTTTAAACTCAGTTTCTTTATTTTGGTGCTTTATCATTGAGTTAAATGTGTACAATAAGATTTTAAGTATTGAGCCTTTTGCACGAAAGGCCTCTTTTTTTCCCGTTCAAAAATTAGGAAGGCTTATTCTGTTTCTAAATCGTCTTCCTCTTAATATTTAAATTACTTAGCTGGTACCCTATGAATACAATGCAGCATCTTTTTTTTTCACAGAGGAAACATTTTATTTCAATACAGTTTTGTTTTGGAAGAAAACTGTTTCTTAATTTGCTATGAACACATTTCCAGATATAAAATGTCTGAACTTTGTTGTGGCAACTTGACATTCATTAAAGGCACGGATACAGTTTTCTTTGCAAGTCAGCACAAGAAATGCAGACATTTTAATAGAATGGAGCTAAAAAAAATTAGCACGTAAAGAAACAATAACTTTGGGTTTTGATGTATTTACAAAGGATTTGGGGCTTTGTTCTTGGCCGTATGCATCTTACAGTCTCGTCACCATTGTCCCTCTAAGTCAAACACAATTGCCCTTCCCTCTTGCTGGAAACTTCTAGGTCCTTGTTAAGCACAGTGCATTGGACACTAATTTATTTTAGCTGCACAGACTCTGCTAGTTCATGACCCTTTTCCTTCAAAATCCAAAGACTTCTTTTCAAAAGATAAAGCAGAAAAGAGGGAGAGAAGAAAACTAAGCTACAAAAATTTCCGCAGAATCCACTCTGCTTTAAGCGGAAGAGAAGTGTAGACGCCGCCAAAGCCAGCAGGCTCTGCGTGGCATCGCACGTGGAATCGCGTCTCTTACCTGGGCCTTCTTTATAGCTCAGCCCCCACCCCCGTGGGCCTCGGCTCAGCAGCCCGCACGCTCCCGCCATCCCACGCACGCTCCCGCTTCCTCGGTCCGGTAACCCATGGCAACCGCCCTGGTAACCCATAGCAACTGCTCTGCGGAACCGGGCGGGGCGGGGGAGCCATTTGGAGTGGGCGGGTGGAGAGCGATTTACCACGGCCCACCTGCCTCGGGCACCCACCGCCAGCGTCCCGCACCGGACAGCGAGGACCAAACAAAGCCTCCGCACACATGCCGGGCGCGGGTGGGGGAGGCACGTGGGCCTTTGTTCTTCAGACGCCGCCCGCCCGCCGAGAGCGTGCACATGGCTCCATCGGCTCCATGACCCCCACGCTGCTGAGCGCGTACCCTCAGGAGCCTGGAATCTTCCAGACTGGAGCCCAGTACGCTAACATCCATCTCTCCCCTGACCCGGCGCGGACACTTGTGCCCGGTGGCAGAACTGGGACGCTGGGGTAGGGGCACGTGCTTCTGGGTCTTGGGTGAGGCTGGTGTGTAACGCGCGCGTGGGGAGATAGAGGTCCCCAAGCTGCCGAGGCAGGTCACTTGAGGATGACCAGCCGTGCGAGGCCACGGGTGGACGGATGGGGTCGCTGTCGGGCAGCGTGGCGCAGCTGGTACCCTGCGGGCTCTGCCCAAAGCATCATCTGCTCGCTGGTGCTTGCCAGATCCCAAGGCTGCCGTGAGATGGTTCAGGAAATGGTATCTCTGCATCCGGGCACAAAGCAGTACCGCGGCGTGAAGGGGAGACGGCGCTAGGAGTCCAGAGTCACAGTTTCAGATCACGGTCTACCTAGCTGACACCAAACTCATTTGGACGGTTTTTAATTTTTTTTCAAACAAAACAAAAACAAAAAACAAAACTTTTTGCCTTGATGATTCTGTGGCCCCCTGAGTCCTCAATTCTACCCTCTATATGTGCACATCAGTTACAAATCCAAATAGCAAAGCCATCAGGAGCATCCTTTTTGGCGACGAGAACTACACATGTACCGTATACACGTGTATAAAGTGCCTTCCTTTTTAAGTTAACTAGGTCCTCCATGGGTTACACGTTTAATTGTAATTTTACTGCCTGACAA